TAATTCATTTAAGTTGCACATTTATTATTTATTTATTTAGGGATTTATGTCCCGCCCTACCCATACGGCCCAGGGCAGCAAACAGGCGGCAATGCCGAGAATAAAACATAGATTACATTAAAACCTCAATAAATACAAACTAAAATGGTGCTCTACAGTACATTTTAAGAGTTCAGGATGGTCGATGTCCCTCACTGGCGGCCGATGGTATAAAAGCCGGAGCGCTAGAGTGATGTTCCTCATTCTGGGCGACGTCTGCCCCTGCCTAGAGCCAGGTAGATGGTAAATCAAGCCACGGTGGTGGTATAGTGGCGGCGGTGGCTCCTACTCAAAAGCCTGGCGGAAGAGCTCCGTCTTGCAGGCCCTGCGGAACTGTACAAGGTCCCGCAGGGCCCGGATCTCCGCCAGGAGCTCATTCCACCAGGTACGAGCCGCCACCGAAAAAGCCCTGGCTGTGGTTAGGGCAAGCTTAATGTCCCGGGGGCCTGGAACCTCGAGGAGGTCCAGACTCCCCGATCGCAGCGCTCTCGGGGGAACATACGGGAAGAGGCGGTCCCTAAGGTAGGCTGGACCCTGGCCATTCAGGGCTTTAAAGGTGAGAACCAGCACTTTGAAACGAATCCGGTATGCTATAGGCAGCCAGTGCAGCGCTTGCAGCACCGGCCGGATGTGGTCCCTCCTTGAGAGACCCATCAGCAGCCTGGCTGCAGCATTCTGCACTAGCTGCAGCTTCCGGATTTGCAACAAAGGCAGCCCCAAGTAGAGAGCGTTACAGTAGTCTAGCCTCGAGGTGACCGTCTATTAGTAGTTTAGTATTTAATTTCTTAATTTCTTAATTCAGCAGAGTTAGCAGAGTAAAAATGAGTCTGAGTCCATGGTAGTTTAAAATATAAAAGTTTACTATCAACCTAACAAGGGTAGGGTAAACTTGAAACTTCCAACACCGTCGCGTGGATCACAGTGGCCAGGTCCTCGCGGCTGAGGTAGGGGACCAACTGCCAGGCCAGCCGTAGATGGTAAAAGGCTGACCTAGCAGTGGCTGCCACCTGGGCCTCCATTGTTAACGAAGAGTCCAGGACCACTCCTAAACTCCTAACCTCCCGCACAGGCACCAAAGGCACCCCGCCGAAGGTCGGGAGAAGGAGTCCTAACTCAGGACCTCCGTCTTTGCCGGGTTTAATTTCAACCGACTCAGCCTAAGCCAACCAGCCACGACTTGTAACGCCTGAGAAAGGTCATCGGGACCAGAGTCCGAACGGCCGTCCAACATCAGATAGAGCTGGGTGTCATCACCATACCTCCGGACAAGCCCATACCTCCGGACAATCTGGGCGAGGGGGCGCATGTAGATGTTAAATAACATTGGGGACAACACGGCTCCTTGGGGCACTCCACACTCAAGGGGGTGCCTTCGGGACTGCTGGATCCCCATTGCCACCCTCTGTCCCCGACCTTGGAGAAAGGAGACGAGCCATTGAAGGGCAAGCCCCTGAATCCCCACGTTGGTGAGGCGGCGGGCCAGCAACTGGTGGTCGCGGCGCCTGGGAGCGATCACATTGATGGCTGAGGAGAGTCTGGAGTTCCAATCCTCCACCAGCTCATCTAACGAGCCGCCAGGGGGCCTTGGATCCCGCAGAGCCATCTGGAGCCACATGGGGTCCATTTGGCTCCGCGGGCGAGCCAAAATCAGCTCACCACCTAAACAGGGTCGGGGTGGGACATTCAGACGGGCCCTCAGGACATGGTGGTCCGACCATGGCACTGCCTTAACAGTGATCCGGTCCTCCAAAACTCCCGCTGCAAAGATCAGATCGAGCATGTGACCGGCCCGATGCGTGGGGGCCAAGATGGACTGGCACGACACTAGGTCCACAGCCCGGCTGGACGTCGCATTGTCAGCATGGACGTTGAAGTCACCCAAGACAACAGCCTAGGGTGCTCCAACGCCCAGCCTGATACGGCCTCCAGCAGGGATGGCAGGCTATCGGCCGGAGCGTTAGGTAGTCGGTACACCAGCCAAATAGCCAAACTCTCCTCAGCCTCTAGCAGCAAGCCGACACATTCAATGCTTGCGATCTCCACCTGCGGGAGCGCCCTGAAGGAGTAAGCCTCCCGAATGAAAAACGCCACTCCTCCCCCCGCCCCCTAGTCCATGATTGATGGAGGACCGAGAACCCCGGTGGGGCAAGTTGGGCGAGCGCAACCATCTCGCTCTCCCATACCCAGGTCTTGGTCATGCACGCCAGGTCCACTTGCTGTTCCTGTATGAAGTCCCGAAGGACTTCAACCTTGTTGTTGATCGACCTGGCGTTGCACAACATCAATGCCGGAGGGGGGTTTCTAATCCTGGCCCCACTGCCAGCCCCTCCCGGAGCCCCGTTCCAGCTGCTCGCATGGCCCCCCTTCTGCCTTCTCTCTGCTGGGGCTCTGTTGCTGGCCCAGGGAGGGGACAGGAAAAATAACATACACTGTATACCAATGTATTTGGCTTTGCTCCTGCAGAATGCAGGGGAGGGGTTGGACTAAATGACCCACAAGGTCCCTTCCCACTCCAACATTCTATGATTCTATGAACAACTGTATGACAAAACAGGGCTCTTTATATGCTAAAGAAAGAAAGAACAAACTGTACATCTGTTGGTAATTCCTAGAACAGTAAAGAGGACATCATAGTCATAGAAGCATCCGGTCACAACTGTGTAGATAACTATCAAAGAACAGAGCCCCCTAAAAGAGTGATTAACACATGGGACTCACTGCCACAGGAAGTGGTGGCGGCTACAAGCATGGACGGCTTCAAAAGGGAATTAGATAAGCATATGGAGCAGAGGTCCATCAGTGGCTATTAGCCACAAGGTATAGATAGGGACTCTGGGGCAAGTGATGCTCTGTCTTCTTGGTGCTTGGGGGGGGGCAACAGTGGGAGGGCTTCTAGTGTCCTGGCCCCACTGGTGGACCTCCTGATGGCACCTGGTGTTTTTGGCCACTGTGTGACACAGAGTGTTGGACTGGACGGGCCTTTGGCTTGATCCAACATTGGCCTTTCTTATCCTCGGGATGGGTCGCAGGATGGAAGGACGCCGAGCCGCTCTGTTTCTCCGCGTCCTTCCCTTTACACTCTGCCGTGACCCACCGCCATATTTCCCTCTCCCCAAGAGCACTGGAATAGATTGCCCCAGCACTGAATAACTGGTGGGCTCCGTAAAAACTTCAGACCGCCAGCTAATAAAGCTAAGCAGTAATCAACCCAATAGCTGCAATATGAAAACAGTTAAGTGCTATGCAAGGTAAAACAAGTTCCTAAAACCCAGATCCGGGAACTACCCCAGTAGCTAATTAAGACCCCAGCAATCATTCCCAGCAACCACATACACTCATACACTCGCATACACACTCACACTACAGTAGGCCCGCTAGTTCTAGCTCAACAATCTCCACAGGTTCCGGTAAGCTGGCCGCGTTCTTCGCATTGGTGGTAGTTCCGCGCTTCCGGCACTAGAGGGCTCCGGCGAAGGTAAATATTCTACCGTCCTGCCATCATTTTGTTTAATTAATACACTTCCAAAGCTCTATTATAGGTTTTCCTCAATCCTTCTATTATGGCCACTTTCATTTCTATCTACTGCAAACCACACCTGACACTAAGATCGAGTTTGCCGATCGCGTACCTGATGTTTCTTGTTGAAATAGATGTTTTAAATGTGAGCTCGGCTGGCTTTTGGAGATTTGGTTGCTTGGTTTAAACTTCCGAGGTTGGGAAACTCAGCAGTGTTTGCATTTCTATGTGTCAGTGGCTCGAAGTTGAGTGGGGAAAGGTGCTAGACCACTGATGGCGAACCTTTTAGAGATTGAGTGCCCAAACTGTAACCCAAAACCAACTTATTTATCGAAAAGTGCCAACACAGCAATTTAACCTAAATACTGAGATTTTACTTTAGAAAAACAACTCATACATTTATTTAAGATGATCAAAACAAAGTAAGGAAAGCAATCCCAAATGATTTCATTTACTTAAAATTATTTGGCAGAGAATTCAACACTTTAATGATGGTCTGGGCCTTGCTGGGGAGATGCCAGATGAGCCCACAAAGAGGGCTCTGCGTGCCACTTCTGGCACCTGTGCCATAGGT